ATGATGATGTTTCTTTTCATTTACTTCCTTTCTATTAATCAAAGATGATTTAACTTGCTTATTCATATAAATATCTTTGACATTTTTAATATCATCTGAATCTTGACTAGATGAAGTTAATGATTCAAGTGCTTTATAGGTAATTGCTTGTTGTGTAGAAGATGGGAGTAATAAATGTTTTGTAAATTCTCCATATTTAATTTCACGATAATCCGATTTATAATAATCGGCCATAATTGGTTGTTGAGATTGTTATTTTCATGAATAACTTTTATCTTTTAGTATTTTTTGTTTAGCATCGTTCAAAGCGATTTTAGTTGTATAACAAACATTATAATTATAACAGTTTTCTTTTTCACCTATACCATCGTCACTTGATGCCGATGTTGTTCTTGTACTTGTTGTTGAACTTACCTGATCGTCAGAATATTAGATAGTGTTTTCTATCAAATACTTCACCATCACAAGTATGTCAAAACGTATCTAACAGCAACCGTATCCGTTTATATAGACCGTTTTTCCTCTTCTTCTCCTGCTCCCGACAGGTTATTTTCCTCTAAACCCCGTTCATCAATGATAATAAAATGTCATAGGTTATAAACATTTCTTTGAATTTTCTTGAAAATTCTATTTATGCATTATATATACGCAGCTGTACTAAAAAAAGCTATATCAACAAAGAATTAATCTTCATCACCACTATCTCACAGCAGTGTGCATTTTTCCATAGGCCAGGCGAACATTTGCTATAGAAGCAGTTCGAAAGTCTATAAACATTTTTTTATAGGTTTCTAGATATACTCTTTCCAATGGTGTGTTTTACAAAGCTCAAAGAGACTTTCAGCTGGGTTCTCCAGAAGTCTCTAGAAAACCCACATGTAAGTATTCTGGCCACGTGGTTTCATTTCATTAACAATATCAGTTGTTAATTTTTCACTAAATGTGTTAAAACAATAATCAATTGGATTCAATAAATGGGATTTAAATTCTTTTTCTAAACTTTTTGATTGATCAATAACTACATCGGCACCTAACTTTTTATACCATTCAGCTGTTTTGATGATGTTGTAATCACTTTAATTCCGCATAATTTTGCTAATTGAATAGCTATTGATCCAACACCGCCAGCACCAGCGATGATTAAGATGGATTTAGTTTCAGGTTCATTTTCTCTTATGTTCACTGTTTCATAAGGAGAAAATTGTAAAATCAAAAGGATACTAGAGTGTTTGGTGCATTGCATAACAATGTTGTTCTCGAGGAAATTTGGTATTACATGAGAAACTCAATAAATTATTATTTTCCATTGATGCTTTTGATTTCTTCTAAGAGGTACTGTGTCTTGATTGTCGTGAGAGAGAAAACAATATTGATACTGGATATAATAGTCAAGTCCGCTTTTAAAGGCTGGTTTCCAAAAAAATAGTCTACTTTACAATATCATTCAAATAGGGTCCATTGAAAGACTTGAATACATTTAGAGCTCGCGAAACTAGCTCGTACAGAAAGTACATTGAATTTTGAGCTCTTCTTGTTAGAGCATCCCACTGGGTTGCCCATACTTTGCAGCGCAACCAAATGCCTTTATTTTCATCAGTACAGTACACTGCTTCAAAAACCGGATCATTCCAAAGCATTTTGAAACTGCATGCAACCAGTGTTAAGTGAGGTTCATCGATCTTTGGCAACGTCTTTTTTAGTCTGATAATCCAGAAAAGCCGTATTTTAAGCTTTCAGAAACGTTCAAATATCTCAGTATATGTATAGGTGGATTTGAAAAATCGTTTACCCTACCTAATAGATACTAATCATAGTTTTCAAACAAAGATTACTTCTACTTTACGTTGTACCATGCTCCAAAAGACGTTCTCGTACTAAACGCCAGTAGAATTGAAAGTGAAAATAGAGAAGACGCCGTGTCTGTATTGGTCGATTCAAAAACTGTAAGTTCTGACTGCAACTTCTGAAGTGATAGATCACTATTGAAAAAAATGGCCTTCAGTGCTCGATAAATATATGACTAGTGCTTAGAATAATCTCTGGTCTTGCAGCTACTGCATAATAAAAGTGAAATGTTCGTAAAAAAGATCAATGCAAAATTGGTAATAGCTCTAAACGATTAAAGATGATTACTTGAAATTTTTATCAGCGATAAATTACATGATTATTACCATTTTCCGGAAGTTTGGCTGGCGGCTTGTCCACGTAACTCGATCAAGTTTTTGAAAAAATTATTTTATAGTAGACCTGAAAGAAGCATGTCACTAGATGCAGTTTTTGATGCTGATTACGAATCTCACATTATTTTTTTAAAAAGTTAAATTTTGGCACCAAAAATCTAGTTTTCCATTTTTAGAAAACTGTATTTTTAATTTCCTCACCTAGACACTTTTCCTAATAAAAACAGAAGGCCACACTAATCGATAGAGAATTCGGTTCTCTACAAGATGTTTCTTAAGTATGTTTCTTTTGAAGTTTAAACTCAAAACAAGCTTTTTAATAAAGTTTTAAGTTTTAAGATTCTCACACAATTCTAAGAAAGTGAAAACATTTTTTCAGCTTTATTTTCACGTTAGTCTATATTACATGCCTAAAACTAAGCCCGATGTGAAAACGAAATCCTTTGAGCAATGTTTAGTGCTCCAAACTGCAAAGCCCTTTTTGTCACAGCGTCACGTGCCGAAAAACGGTTCTAACAATTCAAGTCTTTAACCACATACCTTCATTTTTATACCAAAAGTAGAGTATGGCGAGCTGCGTCAAATGACGCAAGAATGAAGTTTCTAGTTCTTACACTTTTCGAGAAAAGCTCAAATTACTGTTTCAAAAATGTCACAGCGTCACACTTGGACAAGCCGCTGAGATCTCATCTATTAATTAGGCGACTGGTTTCTGGGTAGGCGGTCAGGGATCGAAGATCCTAAATGTAAATCGTTTATGCCGTTTAAGCTGTCTGTGATAAGGCTATTGCTTGTAAAAGCAACAAGATTTTGGGTTTGGAACCAACAATTCTATTATCAACTACTTGATATTGTGCATATTAACCCGGTCGACTTATCGTCAGACCAATAAACTTCGTCACCCACCTTAAACTTTTTAATAAATGAACCAACTAACATCACAACTCCTACACCATCATATCCAATAATTGAAGGGCGCTCTCGGTCTTATACTCATTGCAAGAAATCCGATCTAGCACGTATAACTGCAGTATGTCTTAAGCGCTTCAACTCATGTTGAACAGTTCAAGAAACGTAGATCACAATCACACATAAAAAGCACACAAAGAAACAGGAAAACCTCCACAATAAAACCATGCTGCCTTCGAAGCATACTAGAGAACGACTATTCCACCTTCTTACAAAATCTCTCCAGATATTCGGTTGCATGCAACATAAAGTTGAGCGAGAGTTTTGTTTATTTTCAATGCTTCTGCTAATGCTTCACCTCCTCTATCGGATATTCGGTTGTCTTGAAGACCAAGTTTACAATGCAAAGCAACAGCAACAACTTATCCAGATTTATCGGTCGTCGTACGTGATGGTCACACACATTTACCAGGTGAATCTTGTGCAAAAATATTGGAAATTAGAAAATCGTTAAAACATAAAAGTACTGCAGAAGCAGGTCCAATTGACCGTACAGTTGAAGAAGCGTATAATAATGCCAATCGTCGATCTTCATCAACTGATTTACTTATTAACTTACCACCACTGCATACAATGAAAAATACATTACAAAGACATTATCGGAAAAATCATCCACCAGTTCCACATACAATAAAACAATTACCATTTCCATTACCGGACCCATACAGTAAAACAATAAATGGCGAATCGTTTTTATTATATGATGGATTACTTGCTGGTACTCGTTCACTCATTTTCTCGTCATACAGTGATATCGTTCATCTATCACAACAAGAACATTGGTACGGCGATGGTGCTTTTTATACATGTCCTTCAATTTTTTACCAGATGTATTCAATTCATGCATATTGTGATGGACTATCAAAACCATTCATTTTTGCATTATTTCCATCGAAATCGCAATGAGATGTTTTCTAGAATTTTCTGATAAGTTTTCGTGGAGATATAAGTATCACGGCAAATATCCTGGAAAAAGTGGCCTATGTAAAAAATGCGTTTTTTCTCGAAAAGTATTTTTTTGCTATCGGACCTCATCGGATCACATTATGACTCCCCTTAAATTTCATCCGATCGAGTTAAAAATCTTACCAGGGGTACTCAAGGTCATAGTGCAGAGGTATAATTTTGGAATTTTATTTTACTTTTCTTTACTGAGTTATAGAGTTTCTAACATTTAAAAACTTAGTTTTTGAAAGTTTTTCGCTATTTTCCCTATAACTCGGTAAAAAAAGATCTAAAATAAAATTCTAAAATTATACCTCTGTGCTATGGCCTTGAGTACCTCTGGTAAAACTTTTAAATCGATCGAATGAGATTTAAGGAGGGTTGTAACGTGGTCTAATGAAAAATCGAGTTTTCTCGAAAACTGGTGAACGGCAATAGTTAAAAACTCGAAACAAAAGCGAAAAAGTGCTCCATTGAGTTTCCAATCAGTTCTGAAAATATGAAGCTTTAGTGAATTTTAGTTTTTATTTCACAACATTTCTACGGAAAGTCCAAATTGAGGAGAGGTAATGCATCCATACAACATATTTTTAAATGTTCTATTTAAATGGATTTAATAAACAAAACAGAATTTTCTTTTCTTGTAAAATATTCTTTGTATCGAAAACAGAGAGTGGTAAAAGAAAAATTAAATTAAATTGAGATTTTAAAATTTTTTCTTTTTTATATGTTATTATACTTTTCTAATAATCATCTATCACACTTCTAGCGCTATGTCAACTTCTTCTTTTGTGTTTTTTTATTTGATTTTTCAATGACAACAATAATATTAACAAAAAAAATAACAGCTATGTATGCCGCTGTTAATGTATTCAAAAATTCAATGTATTTTTTGTTGTAAACACAGTTAAAAAGTGTGAGTGCGTGTGCATATCTCAAGAGAGTTCAATTTTATGAAGTAAAAGTACAGTCTGACACTTTGTAGACTAAAACTAAGTAAAAATCTTTATCCCTATTCTAGATCATAAATATATATATATATATTTATATATGGCTGATAGTTCCAGACAAGATGATGAGAACAAACCTCGACGTTCTCAATCGGCTGATTATAATAGTAAACGTAGTCGTTTACCGAAACAAAGTCCTAGACCTCATATAAATCCCAATTCATTTCGTTTTAATAAATTATATCGTGGTCCTCCTACACCACCACCTGAAACACTTTTCGATAAAGAACAAAGTTTTGTATTAGATTGTCGTGCCGTTAGTCACATATCAAATGATTATTCCATAGCGAATCCAAAACTTGGCTCTGTTATTCCACCGTACAATTCACAAAAAGATTCGGATGTCGATAATTATTTTCATTTCTATGGTGTCGATAATACACTACGAAGAACTGGACAGGTATGAATATTCAAAAAACAAAAAAAAAGAAAAGAAAAAAAAACAGTTATAGAATTGAAATATATTCTTGTTTTAGTTATCAAATCACGAATCACTTGCTGGTAGAGTACACGATCGATTTTTTACAAGTGGCCATGCATTCAAATATTTATCATTGAGAAATAAATTTGGCTCGGGTAAGAATATTACAGAACTGATTATGATTAAAAAAATGAGATATATCAGAGACTTTTGAGCATTAAAAGTCAAAATATCTAACATTCATTGTAAGTTTAATCTCAACAATATGACTATAGCAAATATCTTCTATGGAATATAGAAAAATTATATATGTGGTAAAGGGGATTTCCTCTAAATTTAAGATAATTGTACATGAGTTAAAACATGAATCTTTGAGAATTTAGACTTTTAGACATTTAAATCACATTACACAGTATTAGGATGGTGTTTAGACCACCTATAGTGAGTTAGAAAACAATAGATTGGCGAAGACGAATGTAAAAGAACTTTTGGAATGTGTTTACATGTTCAATGTTGTTTTCTAAATCGATCTCATTGCTCTAAATGTCCTCTAGATGTAGTATAATGTGGTTTAAGTGTCTAAAAGCCTCAATTGTTAATGCAACAATGGAATTTTTGAAGCTTTAACTCATGTGTAGACATTATTATTTCAATTTTTCTGTTGTTTGAATCTCTATGATCTATTTGGGTCGAAAAATATAAGTTTCGATAGGTGAGAAATGCTGAGACCGTGTAACTGACCGAAGATAAATGAACGATATGATCAAGAAAGTCATATTGTCTAAGAATTGAAGTAATTCTGTTTGTTTCAGCGGGATTCTAAAAACTTAAACTATTGAAAAACATATAATCAATTTTGTATAAATATAGACTCGAACATATTAACTTAGATTTACAGTTAACTGTAAATATAAATTCACTAGTTTCTAGTCTATATGCTGTATAAAATAAATTTAGGTCATTCGATCGATGAAGTTCGCGGTCATGAATTATTTTTAAGTAATCCAAAACCTGTTCTAAATTACAATGGTCTTTTTGGTAAGAGTTATGTTTTTTGGGCTTTAATCACATCTTATTATTAATATGTTGTTATTGTTTAAAGGTTATCGTCGTAATACGCCATCATTACGTGTTCAACCGGCGATCGGCGTCAAAACAATTCGCATAGAAGAAATTGTTCCATTTTCTCGTTTTACAAAAATTGGATGTAATAAACCTTATCCATTTCATTGTCGATGTCCTCCCGGAGGTAAAGTATGTCGATGCCACAATGGAAATTCTCTATGTCAATGTGTTAAAGCATAACAGAAACATCCAAAAATAGTTAATATTAATCAATGATGAAGATGATATTGATTGACTACACTCAAGTTCATCATATTCTGAACGACATTCATTTAGCCCATTACATTTTAAATTATGATCAATACACATACCGCTACTATCATCACAATCAAACATACTCACTGGACAGTAATCATCTTCAAATAGAATAAATAAAAATATACAATTGTTTTTTTTTTCATATGAATATAAAAGTATAATTGTACCTATTTTTTTCTCCGTAAATGCCACAAACAATAATCTAATATTGTATTGTTGTTGTTCCTCTAATTCATCATCATAATCATGTGACCATTGTATAGTCATTACATGACTTGTTGATAACCAATCATCAGAATTATCTTTAAAATTAGATAAACCACATAAACTATGAGTGCTAACATCCTATAGAAGAATAATATAAAAAATAATTTTTTTCTATTTTAAAATATATTTTTTATAAAACATGTACCAGTGTAATTTTTAAACATGGTTTTGGTAAGTAATTATTGGTATCTAAATCACTATCAATGGTATGAAAACCGTATAATGCTAATCGAATACGTTGACCATGTTTTGCTCTTAATTCCATTGTACAAACTGTATTTTGAAGTTTGTCATAGTCAACTACTCTATGAGAAATAACAAACATTGATCACAATAAACCTACGATGATGATAATCATTTAATCAGAAATAATCTTATCATTATATACTCATACTCATATTTCTTTCTTACAGAGAAAATATACATCTTTGACTATTTCTGTCAAATTATCAACGGTATCCGTAAGATTTTTATCCTCATATTGTATCCATTTTCTGGGAAAATTTTACACATTATCATAATGAATATTTGACTAAAAAGAAAACATACATACCGGATTGTTTAAATGGATTAGTTGAATATATGATTCCAGATGACCATCTAAATAGAAGAAGAAGAAAAAAACTGATGCCT